CTGTTATAACCTCTTCTGCCTCTTTTGGTCATTCCTAAGGTAAGAAGAGGGGAGCTACCAAATGTGAGGGCTTTTTTATTTTTTGGAAAATACGAAATACTGCTAATAAGAACAGTGAAGCAAATGAAGTAAAAAAGGCTTGAGGAGGAGATGGAGTGCTTGAATACAAGAAGCCTGTGGCAGACAAAATGTGAGAGAAGATTAAAATCAAACAAATAACATCAACACAGTGTATGGAGAAGGGGATTGAGTTGCAATGTGTTGAGCATTAAGAACAGATGAAAGAATTGTGGCAGTAAAGTAAAGCACAGGGTAGAGCTGACAGCAGAATTCACGAAGAATTGTGGTTTGAAGGAAGCTGGTAGAGGCAAGGTCAAACACCTGAAAGATAAGGATGAGGGTGATGAGACTTACAAGCTGTTTAGGGAATTGGGATCATATGAAGCATGACTTACAAGAATTGGAATATGGGCTATATAACACCAAAATAACCTTTTTAAAATTATTTTTAGGGAATCTGAAGATACTGCCTTGCTGTTTCTCAAAGAAATATACAGGACTATGAATATCAACCCTGAACAGCCACAGCACTGATGTATAGATACATAAATTTGTAAGTTTGTTCTAATGTAACTTATGTATTCTATCAAATTCACCTGAAAAGTGCTAGTGGTATTAGATATGATGAAATCTATTTACAGTGCAGACCGAGGAACACCAGGAGTCCTCCAGCATTGTAACAAACAGGTAGTGTATTGGCTGAGTCCTGGTGCACACGTATATGCCTGAGAGAAAAAGAAGCCCCTCTCCTAAGGAGCAATTCAGTCTTGAGCTGATTTTGATAAGCTATTGAATGAGGCCTTTATATGTGTCATTATTTTACCATGTTTATATGGTTGTTCTACTGGTTCTGTTTAAATTCTTAACCCATATAAACATGGTAAAATAATGACACATATAAAGGCCTCATTGGTTGAGGATGGCCTCATTGGATGATTGAGAAGAACCTTGTTCTACTGGTTCATGAGGTAACCTCAATCATTCGGTGCTTGTTATACCGTTTATATTCCTCCCACATGTGCACTTTTTTTTTGTGGGGTGGGGGGGGAAGAGGTCTCAGCATATTAAAGCTTTGATGTATGAATTAAAGCAGCTCTATTTGTACCCCTAAATGCTATAGGATAACCTGAACCATAAGTTAAAGACTCCAGTAATTAAAATGTTCAAGTGAGTGATGTCCTCTGAGCAGGAAAAATACGCTCCACTATGTGGAACTGTAATAATCTTTTTTGTCCAGAAAAAGTAGAATTCAGATTTTTTTTAATTGATTAAAAGGTTTTACGATTTTTATCTGTTTTGATCTTTTTGTGTCATTTTGAAACAATATTGGCATGTTTTATTTTTGCAAGGATAGAAAACTTGATGGTTTTACATGTGTGCGTGTTCTGTGTTCTCTCTGCACAGAAAAATCTGGTGGAGAAACAATTTGAAGAATCCCTATTATGTCCATAGCTACAGGTGATAAGAGTTGGACTTTCTCTCCCTGCCAGTCCGGAACTCGTCTGGATTCTGCCGCCTTGTGTCACTTCAAGCAAATTTAATTTCTGAAAAGATCAAAACCATCATTCAACAAACAGAATACAATACAAGATACAGTTTTGATCTTCAATCAGTTTAATTGTACAGTTGCCAAAGATAGTGATCACTGAAGAAGTATTTTTGGCATGGAAATGATTATTCTCTCCTTTAGCTATCCTATCTTAACTGGTTGTCAAACATGTTGTCTACAAAGGCAGCATGTCCTTTATTAAGAGGGACTTGTTGAGAAACAGCAATAATCTGCTTTCCTTGCAACACCTGTTGGTCCACCTTTTAAAAACAAAACATGAACTGTAGTTAGAACCAGCTTAAATACAAATTACATGAAGCTGTTTGTTTTTACTAAAAACTAGCAACCAGAATAATTTTCTTACTATTGTAAGTGTCGTATGGAGATTTTATAAAGACCTTTTAAATCCTCTGTTAAGAGTTTTTTTTGGGTGTTTGAAGTTTGTTGCGGTTAGTTCAGTGTTCAAATCTCCCGAAATGAAGAACAACTTGAAATGACACTTGGTGTGGTAATTAAGGTTATTGTTAGTGAATTTAGTGTGCAGCTGTAAGAACTGAAATACTTCCCCTGACCTTGCAGTTTAGTGTCTCAGTATATTTGATGTAAATAGGGGAATCTGCACTTGTGGGAGCCAGATGTAACAGTGCAGGTCCAGACCCATAATCCAGCCTTACTTTTCACTTACTGGAAAAGAGATGAGTTGGGTGGTATGGAATCCTTTTAATATGCCTCACTGAGGATTGAGCTTCTGTAGCTTTCTTCTGGCTTCAGCTTAGATGCAAATTGTGACTTCTCTTAATATTAATGATTTAATACTGACTGTTTGCTTCTGTTGTTGCAGTAGTTTGGGTTTGAAATGCAGTGGATGTGGATTTCTTTTCTTTTTTTTTTTTTTTTAAAGCTTAGGATGTGTAAATATACATTTTTGTATATATTTTGGTTTTAAAATTAAAAATCCCTCACTTCAGGGAGTCTTTATAGCATTTTTTTTTATTTGATCACAGAATAGAGTGGAAGATGCATCTAGAGGATACCTCATCCTTGTTCAAAGCAGGGTCAGCATGAATCATGTGGCTTGGCTCTTTGTTCAAGGATGGAGATCTATCACCTATCTGGGACTCATCCTAATATTTGACCACTACCATTGTGATTCTTTTTTTCCTAATATGTAATTGGAATTTCATGTGTTGGTTTGTCCATTGTCTCTTGTCCTTTCTCTGGGCATGTCCCAGGAGAGTCTGGCTCTGTCTCTTTTGTACCCACTGAGGACAGCAGTGAGATTCATGCTCGACCCCTCGGTTTCTCAGTACTGAACATTTCCCTTCTCATCTCCTGGTGTGCCACGTGCTGCAGCCCTCTGGTCATCTCCATGGTTTGGCCTCAGTTTGCCACTATTCTGCGAAGCAAATCTGAGTCTGCAAAGGATGTTTTGGTATGAGAACAACCTATTTGTATCTTTGTAAATTTACCTCCAAAGAGCAAATGTTCTAAGCTTCAGAATAGCTTTGTTAGCTAGAATTCAAGTAACACACATACATGAAAGAAACTATTGACTGCATTTTCATGTTCAGGTGTAGAATGGAAAGTTATACACATTTATAAACTCTATGCAACACTGAAGAACCTGATGAGCATACTTAAACAGTTCTGGGAGTGCCTTGCTCATTTTCCTTTCTTACTTAAAGCTGAAGAGATATGATACAACCCCCTGAGAAGGAGCAGCAACCCAAAGCAGTAGTAGAATTGCTGTTGACCGGAGACTGGCTGGTGTGGGACAGCACTTGCTTTGCAATAGAAGGATGTGAAGGAGGATGTTTCAGGTAAATAAGGACCAGCTGGAACAGAGACTGTTTTAGGAGTGTAGCATTAAAGTCAGGTCTTGGAACTGCAACCACAGTAATGGGCAGTTCTTAGGCAAATGGAAGTTCAGAGATTAAACTAAGAACAAATGCCAGTGTAACCAGTGATTGTATAAAACACAGTGAAAAGTTGTCAGCTCCATTTTTTTAAGAAAAATTAATATGCTACCGATAGAAATTTTCCTAGTTTCATATCAGCTTATTGGGCAGGTCCTATACAGCATGGCCTCTGCTATATGACACTGCTGATTTCGGTTCTTTTTGTTTATACTTTTGGTTTTTATGTATAAGGAGTAGTAGATTATGATCAATATATCAATTGCTGTTATAAATTGATTATAAGTGATTTAATATGCAACACTTAAATTAACATAAATTCAAATATTAATTAAGCCCTATGCAAATGTTTAAAGTCAACACTTATTCTTTGGCAATGAGGACAGATTTTAATATCTGCCAAAGCGGTCGTAAGGCTACAAGATTGTTATCCAGAAGACTATTTTTGTTTACTTTTTCATCCAATGTTTGTGTAATAGCAAGGGAGCAGGAAGGGAAAACCTACCCTCTAGATCTGGGACTTAAAGCCATCCCTCTCTTCTCAATAGTCTTCATTGTCTTTCTTTTTTTTCTGACAATGTCCATAAGAAAATGTCTTAAAAAAAGACAAGGTGCTCCTCCAAACTTGCCTTGTGGTTGTGGAACCTCTAGAGAGAAGAGGGTTGCAAGCTTAGGGTGAAAATACCTTAATCAACGTAATGAAAAATCAGGTGAAGGCTAAAAGTGCTGGTAGAAAGGGGGAAAGAGCAGCCAAGGGGCTGTGCTGGGAGGGAAGGAGCAGCTCCTGATTGTGCTGAGTTGTTGGTACTTACAGCATTTATGTGTAGCAACATGAGTGGTACTGATCAGAAATCAATCCCCTCGTGCTGGATATTTTAGGATCCCACTGGAAAAAAGCTGTTAATATCTCTGCTATTAATTTTAAGAGCTTTGGTGTGTTTGTGGAAGCTGAGGCGTCTTCTGTAAAGACAGAGGAAGAGATAATGACTGTATAGAAACAAATTTGACTGTGGTCTTTAATGTACTTGGGATTTCTGCCTGAGGGGGGTGAGTGCTGGCTGCTTTCTGCTGCCTTCTGTGCTCATCCACAGCTGCCACCAGAGAGGGGATGTGAAAAGGTGAACTGCAGCCCTGTATGGAGTGGAGTCTGTGCTAGGGGCTCATGAACATACTGGAGACTAAGCATGGTGTGAGGTGCAGGATGATGCTGGTAGCACGTGCCTATCCTAAGGGAACACTCTCTGTGAGGAAGTTGTACCAGGCTAAAGCACTATTCAGTGTTTAAAACATTCTCCAGATAGCTGGATTACCACAGTGCCATGTCAGTTTATGCCAGGACAAAGGAGACCAAGCTTCTCGGAAGGGTGAAAACCATGTGATTAATTCTTGCTGATAAAAGCCACCTTATAAAATGCCAAGTGAAAGTTTAATTTCCCCTCTGTACCTCTCTGGTTTTCTCTTTAGAAAATTTTCTAAAGAATTTTGTCTCTTCATTCCCACTCCCGCAGTGCGACGATGTTGTTTGGGGACTGATAGACATTGCTGAAGTCTTGAGCAACGCCAACCCGCCCCAGCCTGGTAGCACGTGCCTATCCTAAGGGATCACTCTCTGTGGGGAAGTTGTACAAGGCTAAAGCACTATTCAGTGTTTAAAGCATTCTCTAGATAGCTAAATTGCCACAGTGCCATGTCAGTTTATGCCAGGACAAAGGAGACTAAGCTTCTCGGAAGGGTAAAAACCATGTGATTAATTCTTGCTGATAGAAGCCACCTTATAAAATGCCAAGTGAAAGTTTAATTTCCCCTCTGTACCTCTCTGGTTTTCTCTTTAGAAAATTTTCTAAAGAATTTTGTCTCTTCATTCCCACTCCCGCAGTGCGACGATGTTGTTTGGGGACTGATAGACATTGCTGAAGTCTTGAGCAACGCCAACCCGCCCCAGCAAATGGTCTGTACTCACAAAATGGGCCATGTATGAGATGCTCTGACACGGCACCCGTGTCCTGGCCTGCTGGCAGAAGCTCCCTCGTTCCAGCAGGTGAGGGTAGCTGAGCTGCATGTGTCAATGTTCTCTCAAGTGAACACGTTTATGGTGACGGTTCTCAGGAGGGTCTTCCAAAT